TTTATTGTCAACATGCAAGTCAGCATCTTTTCAGTGACTTTACTAGATTTTATCTGTAATTCAACAAAACAGGGAAAATCTGTAAAACACTATGCAAAAAGAGATTTACCATTTTTTAAAGTAGGTAATCTACATAGTTTTTCTTTTAAATAATGGCTAATATCAGTAAATATACACACATGGACAAAATTGTTGGTACCCCTCGTTTATGAAAGAAAAACCCACAATGGTCACAGAAATAACTTGAATCTGACAAAAGTAATAATAGATAAAAATTATATGAAAATTAACTAATGAAAATCAGACAGTGCTTTTGAACTGTGGTTCAACAGAATTATTTAAAAAAATAAACTCATGAAACAAGCCTGGACAAAAATGATGGTACCCCTAGAAAAGACTGAAAATAATGTGACCATAGGGACATGTTCAATCAAGGTGTGTCCTCTAATTAGCATCGCAGGTGTCTACAAACTTGTAATCAGTCAGTCGGCCTATTTATAGGGTTACAAGTCGTCACTGTGCTGTTTGGTGACATGGTGTGTTCCACACTAAACATGGAGCAGAGGAAGCCAAGGAGAGAGTTGTCTCAGGAGATTAGAAAGAAAATTATAGACAAGCATGTTAAAGGTAAAGGCTGTAAGACCATCTCCAAGCAGCTTGATGTTCCTGTGACTACAGTTGCACACATTATTCAGAAGTTTAAGATCCATGGAACTGTAGCCAACCTCCTTGAATGTGGCCGCAGGAGGAAAACTGATGACAAATGGAAGAGACGGATAATATGAATGGTAACAAAAGAGCCCAGAACGACCTCTAAAGACATTAAAGGTGAACTCCAAGGTCAAGATACATCAGTGTCAGTGTCGCACCATCCATTGTTGTTTGGCCCAAAGTGGACTATTATTTGTAAAAATACAGATTTTTTTTTATGTGGACATTATTTACAGTTTTGGCTAATTGGCTAATTTTTAATGGCTAATTTATAAATCTGTAATTTACAAAACAGGAAAAATCTGTAAAATAATCAAGTCAAGTCAAATCAGCCTTATTGTCAATTTTGCCATATGTACAACATACAGAGAACGGAAACTGCCATACTCCGAGGCACCATGGTGCAAAATGAACATAGAAAAAAAAGTATAGAATTAGCAAAAATAAATAAATAAATAAAATGAAATTAGTAAGAAATTGCTCAATAATTACAGTTAAAAACTGTGAAAACATTGATTTTTTTTTTTTACAGTGTGCTTTTTGGTAACTAATAGAAGTTAATAGAATTTCTAATAAATGAAATGTGTTTGTGTCTGTATACGCAGCTCTCTGACGGTACACGATAACTTAGATTTCCTAGCTGGCTCTATGTGCAGCTTGCAGAGGGCAATTACCAGGCAGCATCTGGTGCCCAGCTTCTCTGTAACCATGCTCCACTCCACAAATGAGTTTACAGTTGCTGTGTGTTTTAGTTTTCCAGCAATTAATGAGCTCTGATGTTTATTTGTCTCATGCCATGCTTCAATAAACAGCCAGATCGCAATATATTCAGATGTGCTTTGAGCCTAAAGCTAAAATATAATGGGGCCACAGGTTAAAAAGTGTCTTTTTGTTACGTAGTAATTATCTTCTGGTTTATTGCTCTATGCAGCAGCAGCAGCAGAACTTGGGCCCGTTTTTAGCGCTACTCGAGGTGGTCCAAAAAGCACAAAGACAGAAAACAAACCGTTGTCCTGTGTTTGAAACCAAAAAACACTTCTGTGTTTACATGTAATGCAATTTTCATCTAACATAAAGGAGGCTTTCACATCATTAAAACTACAATTGTGGTACATTTTTAAAGGATGATGTGCTCAGTGTGAAGGAATATGGGTTGAGCTGCCAGAAAACAAGACGACAAAAAAGGATGTGAATATTTAAAAAAAATATTTGAGGCTTTCTTCACCTTATATTTCATGGCTGAACTCAACCAGTGTGATGGCAGCCTTCACCAGCTGTTCACTGTCCCGTCTGCTGACAATGTTGGTTCACACTTGATTGTTCTGGTATCAGCTCAGCTTTCTAAGCTGTGGTTGGGCAAAACACCAGCAGTAAATGTTGTTATAATATTTATCCCATCTTTTTGTTGTCTACTTGAACTACAACTACAGAGCTATATTTAGAATTCCATGTAAACATTGTTCATTGATATTTCATACACTCAGTAGTTGTGAAACAATTTAAAAACTCTCAGGACATCTGCTGCTTTTCCTTTATTCTGCTTTTGCACATCAATACATACTTGGAGCATATTTTTAACTTGCCACTTTACTCTTTGTTTAGGATTTTGTGCCAGTAGATGGGCAAAGCAGCACACTGACCTAGCAGCAGATCAGCTTTCCATCATTTATTCATTTTGGAAGGAACTCAGTTACACTCACACAAGCTGTAGAACGTCCATTTTAAAATTTGTATATGACTCGGAGCCCTGCTGTTGATCAACCACAATCCTAGCTAAGTTATTAACAATAATCAGTTTCTTTTCTGTGTCTGTTGCAGCCATAATTTTAGCTTTTTCATCAGCCAAGAGGGATAAAACATTTAACTGGCACATCTTTGTTTCTCTACTTAGGGTGAGGAGGAGCTTTATTGCATTTTAAACATCCCTCTTTTTTTCCAAATGGCACAGCCTGAAATGGATGTACTTATTATTGTCGTCCTGTCAGCTGCTTTCTTGCCAACTAGATCAATTAATTGTATAGGCCTGTGAGAGCAGCTAAACAGCTTGGCCATGTTTTTCCCCAAAGAGTGAAATGTCTGTGCTGAAGATGGCTGGACTGGGTCCATTTGCAGCCTGACCAATCTCATGGTTAGTATAGAGTATTCCTCTGTGGGCCCCACTCAGGATTGACTCTGCAGGCAGCAATCCACTGCACACTGGGACTGCACCCAGAATCCAACTTAGGAGAGCAGTGTAGAATCTTGAATATTTATGATAGTACATGTATAGATTGAAATTCCAGTTTTACAATCTCATGCAGCACATCGGCGCATGAAGTACCTCGCAGTTGCACACATAATAGTTGACACAGGCTTTATTCACTATGGTGACTGTAAAGTCAATGGTCACATCTGATTATGACCAGATGTTGTGGAATTACTGAGTCAGAGCGGCATCATTCAGCAGCAGCGCCAAGTGTTCCTAAACAAGCTGTGCTGTGCTGTACTCGGTAAAGAAAGTGGTGATCTCACACTCAGCAGAGCAGAAAGCTACCTGCTTGATGCCATAATAGTTTCCTCATTATTTATTTTCTAAGGATGTTGC